TAGCGTCCAGCCCCCGCTCCCCTCCGGTGGTGACAACATTCCTTTCTTGGGTGCAGAACTCCGAGCCATGAAGCTCCAGCTCCAAGGAGTCATGCAGAACATACATCATAAACCATCCACCACGGCCAACTCGCCGTTCGTTGCCTCCATCCGGGATAAACCTCTACCCCCCAAGTTCAAAATGCCCACCATCAACTTCTTCGATGGTACAACGGACCCAGTCGATCACTTGGAGACTTACAGAACCCTCATGATCCTCCATGCATTCCCCGACGAGATCATGTGTCGGGCTTTCCTCGTGACACTCAAAGGGTCGACTCGACTTTGGTTTAGTCAACTGCCAGCAGACTCTGTCTCCACTTTCCAGTACCTTTGTGACTCATTCCTCAGCCATTTCATTGGAGCCCAGCGCTAGCGACGTCCAGCAACCCAACTTCTCAATATCCGTCAGACCGAGGGAGAGTCGCTGTGCAGTTTCATTACCCGCTTTAACACCGAAGCCTTGCAGGTAGTGGAAAACGATGACAAGGTCATCCTTACGACTTTCATGGCCGGTCTACGATCACCTGATTTCCTCTTATCCCTCTCGAAAAATCCCCCGACCTCCATGGCAACCCTACTCTCCAAAGCACAAAAATACATGAATGCCGAAGATTCCCTAGCCGCCCGACAAGACCCAATAGCCAAAAACCCAACCCCCAGAGAGAAGAGAAAGGACTCAGAAACCAGAAATACCCAGTACACTCACCAAACACCTCCGTACAATAACTGACCACCCCGAGCCGACCGGTCAGTGTCAGCCCGACTGCTCAGCCAGTTCGAAAGATACACACCCCTTAACTCCCCCATGGAACAAGTCTTGAACCAGATTTAGCGAGATTATCCTCTCAAATGGCCCCAACTGTTGCGGTCTCCTTCCAACCGGCGAGACCAGTCCAAATACTGCCGCTTCCACCAGGACCACGGCCATAACACCGAAGAGTGTGTTAACCTCAAAGACCAGGTCGAGGGCCTGATCCGTCAGGGGCGTCTTAGTCGGTTCACGGAAGCTCGCACCCAGTAGAGGTAAAGGACTGAACCCATCAGGAACAACCGCCGGTGCACCCCTCCACGGCAACCAGCACAACCCAACCAAGGTCATGATCGCCCCCCCACAACAACCTCGGGCACAAGGTAACCCCACCCCACCTGTTGGAGAAATCAGAGTTATTTCTGGTGGGCTTGCCTGTGGAGGACTATTTCGCTCGGCTTAGCGGGCAGAACTTAGAAAAATAAGGCAGAGCTCAGAAAAAGAAGTTGTCACATTGGACCGACCCTCCAAACAGCCCAAGCAGTGGACATAGCCTATCACCTTCACGGACGCCGACTGCACAGGCATCCGTTACCCCCATGATGACCCTCTCGTTATTTCTACCCTCCTCTCTAATTACAAGGTTAGACGAGTTCTCGTCGACAATGGCAGTTCTTCCGACATCATTTTCTTAAATTGTTTCCGCCAGCTCAAGATCGGGGAAGAAAGTCTTTCCTCTCTCAAAACCCCATTGGTCGGTTTTACTGGTGATCGGGTGACCTCCATCGGCTCCATCGATCTTTCCATCACAATCGGCGAATACCCACGGCAGACCACAAAGTTACTCACCTTTCTTGTTGTCGATTGCCCCTCTGTCTACAATATCATCCTTGGTCGCACCGCCCTAAATGCCTTCCAAGCTATCACATCCACTTTCCATCTTGCCATCAAATTCCTCACCAATCTTGGGGTCGGCACAGTGAGGGGAGAGCAGACCGTGGCCAGAGAGTGTTATGTCGCCTCACTTAAAAAAGTCAAGCTTAAGGAGGCTATGATCATTGAAGGACTCGACGTCAGAGACGAGGACGAGCTGGTCAAAGGGGAACTAGTGGAAGAGCTCGTCGAGGTCCTCATCGATCCCGTCAACTAGGCAAAAACTGCCAAGATCGGCAGCCAACTATCCTCCCAAGCTAAGGCCGACCTCACCGCCCTCCTGATTGAGCACAACGACGTATTTGCCTGGACCTACTCCGACATGCTAGGTATTGACCCCTCTTTCATCAACCACCATCTCATCATTGAGCCCCATTTCCGACCCATCCGCCAGAAATAGCGCATCTTTCACCCGGAATGCAATAACCTTATTGCTTCTGAAGTAGATAAGCTCCTTGAGGCATAGTTTATTACAAATGTGGACTACCCCAGATGGCTGTCGAATGTGGTTCTGGTTCGTAAAAATAATGGTAAATGGCGACTCTGCGTCGACTACTCCGACCTCAACCGAGCTTGCCCCAAAGACAGCTACACTCTTCCTCGCATAGATCTGCTGGTTGACGCCCCGGCCGCTTATCAAATGCTCAGTTTCGTGGATGCCTTCTCTAGATACAACCAAATCCTGATGCACCCGTCTGAATAGGAACACACCTCCTTCATCACCAATCGAGGAACCTACCATTACCGTGTGATGCCATTTGGGTTGAAAAATGCTGAAGCCACTTACCAACGGTTGGTCAATGCCGTTTTTCATCATCAGATAGGCCGGAACATGGAAATATATGTTGACGACATGCTGGTCAAGAGCAAACTCTCCACTGATCATCTGGCCGACCTGCGAGAGACCTTCGCCACCCTACGAAAGTATCACATGAAGCTCAATCCGGAGAAATGCGCCTTCGGCGTAGGATTTGGGAAGTTCTTGGGTTTCATGGTTAGTTAGCGGGGCATCGAGGCTAACCCCGAAAAGATCAAGGCCTTGATTGAAATGCAATCACCCAAAACGGTCAATGAGGTTTAGAGGCTTACTGGCCAAGTTGCCGCCCTCAACCGCTTTATCTCCCGCGCAACAGACAAGTGCCTCCCCTTCTTCAAAGTTCTTCGGCAAACTTTTGAATGAACGACAAAATCCAAAGAAGCTTTTCAACAGTTGAAACAGTGTATGGCCAACCCCCCCTCCTTTCTCAAGCTATCACAGGCGAATCCCTCTTCCTCTATCTAGCCGTGTCAAACACCGCAGTCAGTGCGACACTTATCAAGGAAGACAGTTCTGTCCAACGACCAGTCTACTACATCAATCGGGCTCTCAGGGGAGCGGAATAGAGTTACCTATTGTTAGAAAAAATGTCCTTGGCCTTGGTCACCGCCTCCAAACGACTCCGCCCTTACTTCCAAGCTCATTCCATAGTGGTCCTCATTGACCAACCATTGAAGAAGATAATGCAACAACCAGAGCTTTCTGGCAGACTTATGCAATGGTCGGTCGAGCTCAGCCAATTTGACATCTCCTACCGGCCTCAAACGAAGATTAAAGGACAGGCTGTTGCCGATTTCATCTTGGAATTCACTAATCCCACTCCAAACACAGCTCCTCTGCCCCCTCACCCCTTACCGAGCTAGAAGACCCCCACTCTTGGACTCTCAACGTCGACGGACCATCTCGTAAAGA